TATCACCCAGGCTGGACTGCAGTGGCATGATCATAGCTCACTGTAACCTCTGACTCCTGGGCTCAAATGATCCTACCGAGTAGCCGAGACCACACCTGGCTAAGTTTTTTCTAATTTTTTTTTTTTTGGTAGAGATGGGGTCTCGCTATGTTGCCCTGGTTGGTCTTGAACTCCTGGCTTCAAGCAATCCTCCCACCTTAGCCTCCCAAAGCGCCGGAATTACAGGCATGAGCCATCATGCCTGGCCTTATACAATATTTTTAATAACTTTGTACATGAAACAGAGTTCGTGTCCATTGAACCATCAGAAAGCAAAATCATCACCATCTCAGCCACCCATGTGCACAGTCTGTAGTTAGTTGGCATCACCGTCACTTCCTTGGGGACGCTGAGTAAACTGTGTGTGCCTGCATTTTGACTGCACCCAGTCACGTGAGGTCAGGTGTCGAATTCTTCCCTTGTGGCGTGATGCCGGTGCTTTAAAAGTTTTGCATTTTGGCCCGTTTCAGATTTTGGGTCTTCAGATTAGGGATGCTCTCCACCTGTATGTAACAGTGGAAATTCAGGTGAAGTCTCAAGGATATAGCTTCAGCTTGGTCCCCACGGGGGATCTCTGGAGCGTTACAGCTTAGATTCTGACCCAGTGGTGCTGAAGCCGTATTTCCACAGCTGTTAGTCAGTAGCTAATGGGGAAGTTGTGAATTCACAGGTAAAGAGAATCCGTGAGTACAAGAGCCGTGTCCTTCAGAGAAGAGGGGCGGTATGGGTTCTTGAAAGAAAAGCACATTGAGCACACAAAAATGTAGAAGGGATCCAAGACAAACTTAGGAGAGCTCAACAGTGACTTCTGTTAGTAGAAAGCTTTTTCTAGAATGGCATTGGGAACCTAGGTAAAGATTAATTTCAAAAACTATTAATGTCAACTTTCAATTGTTGTCAAGATTTCAAATAGCATAAATTTTGCTCCTTTCTCCCCGTGCACTTCCAGCAATATCATATAACCACACATAGGGCCAAACTTCTAGAAAATGCAGGTCAAGTGAGTATGCGTATATATATATCAGACACATCCAGCCATGACCCTGACTAAATGCGGTCTATGTTTGAAAACAACGTGCATATTTTAAAAACCCTCTGTTATAGATGGATTCCATTTTCTTTCTCGCTACCATGAGTGCAAATGTCAAGAATGTTTAGTTATTTTGAAATTTCCATCATTATAAACAGTTGCCTTACTCTGCAATCTCATCTGTTTCTGTATTTCAGGATTGTTGTTGATTTTTGTTTTTCTGTTTAAATGTTTGCCTCTCTTCCAAGGATTAGAGGAGAGCATTATTTGAGAGTTCCCGTGTTAAATGTAATTTAGAGCGCGCGATGTCAAACCCACTGACAGATTTAGAGATTAATTTTGAGACCTCTTGTGGTGCTGGAGAAGCTCCTTAAGGTTTTGAAAATGGCAACAATATTGACTCCCAACCACTAAAGGTTACTTGTGTCCACATTCCCCCTAATGCAAAAGGATAGTTTAAGTGTGGTAAATATCAGTGTTGTTTTGCTTTATGGAAAAACCTGTACATACAAAAAAAAAAAAACAAGTAACTGCCAGGATAAGACATACTTTGTCTTCCAGAAGGATAGGTTATATGGGTATATTTTCCTTTTTTTATTCAGCAAGTAGAACATGACTGTTGCTACAATGATACGATTTGCATAGAAAGAAATTCAATAGTTTTCAATAGTCATGCTGTTGGTCAGGGTCCCCAAAAGCAAACCACAGAGCCAAACATTTGAGTGCTAGAGAAATACAAATGGAGACATTTGATTATGACTTATAAACTACTCCGATTGTATTAAGGGTGGGCAGAAAAACTTTTTTTTCCCCAAATATTTTGGCTTAGACGCATCTCCAAATATGTGTTTTGCTACATTTTAAGGTTGGTACATTTGGGGGATATTTAATCCACATGTTTCAGTGAGGCTACACGTAAATCATCGGAATGTTATTTCATTCTAGCTACATGATGTCTAAAATGCCTTCTGAGCTTTCTCAAATAGTCTTTATGTTCTTTCCTGCGAAGCAGCAGGTAAGTTGCCAAGAGTAAACAAATCAAATAGCGAAAGGTTTGAGTTCAGTCTGAAATGCTTATCCTATTATTTCTGATTGGGTTCTGAACTTGGCAGTACATATCGTGGGTGCCTGCCTGCAGGGCAAAGTGAAAACAATTTGAACACTGTATTTCCCAATTTGTTCATTGACATTTGAGAATAATGTAGAACAGACAGAATCAGCACGTTTGGCAGGGTGAGTGATACTTAATATGACCTCGGAAAGTTACTTCCCACTAGTAACTTGCAGGAGTTCATAGCATGGAACAGCATTGTATACATTACAAAATACAGGTTAAGACAGACAGCCATCCAGAGATCCACGCTGGGGATTTATCTATTTTTCTTGCGCATCTTTAGGTGGAATGGTTGAAAAATGAAGACATAATCGATCCCGTTGAAGATCGGAATTTTTATATTACTATCGATCACAACCTCATCATAAAGCAGGCCCGCCTCTCAGACACTGCAAATTACACCTGTGTCGCCAAAAACATCGTTGCCAAGAGGAAAAGTACAACGGCTACTGTCATAGTCTACGGTGAGTGAGCTTTCTGGGTGTCAATCTGGTTCATGTCTAACTGCAGTTTCTCATTGGCGTTGGTATTTTAATTCCAAAATACCAAGCTCAAGGCCCGTTTTTGATCTCCATTGCCTCTCATGGGGACAGTGAGGTTTTGTTGTTGTTTTAAGAAGGACAGTAACTATTTTTTATGGTATCTGAGTTATGTCTCAATTTATTTATTTTCGATATATTTTACTTCCTTGATAACTTATAAGAAAGACTAGGTTTGGACGTTCCTCGACCTTTATGAGTCAACTTCTGGGCAAGTGAAGAAGCCTATTTGAGCGCCTGCTGTTTCCTGAAGCCCTCCCCTGGCCAGGACCTGCACCACCAAGATCTAGCTTGAGTTCTGGAGGTGCAAACGCATAAAGCAGGCCACTGCTGCTTCTGTGGATGAGGCTCCGTCCGATGATCGCAGACCCTCAGGACAGCTGGAGCTGGCCTGTTCCCCAACACATCAGAGGAATTTTAACTTCCTAGAGGTTGTTCTACTCATTGCATCAGAGGCATGCAGAGTAAAGATAAAGGCTGCCTTACTTAGCCAAGTGGCCCTGATCCTAACGATATGGCGTAGTCACACAAAATGCCTTCTCAGGAAGCTTCTACCTACTCCCTGTCCTTTGAAATCCACCTCATCTTTAAGCTTATCATTCTCTGGAAGTACCAATTTCATACCCCATTTTGATGGGGCATAGATGTTTTCATCTCTCTGCAAAATTTAGCACTCAGTTTTCTAGCGATTTCACGAGTAATTTCATCTCCCCAGCTCAGCTCCTTTGTAGACCAAGAGTCTGGTCTATATATATTCTCACGTTGTTAGACATACAGTAGGTCCTCATATTATTGACGATTCATTGGCTCAGAGGAAACCAAACCACCCTGGGAAGTATCTTTAGGTTATGCTACTTCCAGAATGATGCGCCCATGTCTACCATGTCTTAGGACATAACTAAGCTTTTCAGCACCGTTTTAGCGTTACACGATATTCCAGGAGCCGTGGTGTCTGATTGACTATGAAGGAGGGATAGTCACTGGCAACCATATGCTTCGTTGTACAGTCATGCGTCCCTTCATGATGGGGGTACATGCTGAGAAGTGTGTCATTGGGTAGTTTCATCATTGTGCAAATATCATAGAGTGTACTTACACAAACCTAGATGGTCTAGCTCCCTACGCACTTAGGCTATATGGTCTAGCCTATTGCTCCTAGGCTACAAACCTGTACAGCATGTGGCTGTTCTCAATACTGTAGACAATTGTAACACAGTAGTATTTGTGTATCTAAACATAGAAGAGGTACTATAAAAATAGGTATAAAAGATAAAAAATCATGCACCCGTATAGGGCAGTTACCGTGAGTGGAGCTTGTGGGACTGGAAGTTGGTCTGGCTGAGTCATTGAGTGGGGAGTGAGTGTGATGGCCTAGGGCATTACTGTATAGCACTGTAGACTTCATTAACACTGCACTTAGGCTACCCTAAATTTATTTTTTTAAAGAAAGTAATTACACTACAACGTTACAACGGCTGTGATGTCTCTAGGTGATAGGACTTTTTCAGCTCCATTATAATATTACGAGACCACCAGCACATATGGGGTCTGCCCTTGACTGAAATGTTGCTCAGCACGTGACTTTGCTTACTGCAGATAGTACTGAAAGAGTTAGGAATCGGGTATCCCAAAATATGCTGCTCTGGCAGGGATATGGACTATTTTTTTAGAGTTAAAAGTACTTGAAAAACAGCAGGTACAAGATCCCTCTGACATTCCTTCTATAAAAAGCAGGAGAGGAAATTCCTAAGTGAAAGATGTCCTCTCTATACTAGAAAGAAAGAAACATTCTTAGCATCAAGGACAGGAATTTGAGATTTAGGGGAAGTTGAGACCAAGAGAATTCTTTTTTTTTTTTTTTGGAGACAAGAGTCTGTCTCTGTTGCCTAGGCTAAAGTGCAGTGGCATCATCATAGCTCACTGCAACCTCCAACTCCTGGGCTCAAGTGATCCTCCTGCCTCAGTCTCCCAAGAAGCAG